GTATATTTTGTGGGCGAAACGCGGCAGCAAATTACTCACAGCAACGTCCCACAAACAGTCGTGGATTGAGTGACCACGTTTTATTTAAGGGATTATTTCCTCTGGAAAGCGATCCGCCAATCAACTAACAACCTACTTACTGCTTGGCAAACTGGGGCGTGTGGAGCAAGGAAACTTGCCCAATGTTTCGCCCTGCCAGGATTCGAACCCAGGTCCTCTCACTTGCGAGGCCAGTTCTCTAACGACTACATGGCTTGACTCCGTAGACTCTGTTCCCCTTCCCCTGATGTCATTGCTGCTTGAGGCATGTCTCTGGCGGTGCAAGTGGGTTTAGTGAGTGTGTGAGAGCCGAGCTCAGAGCGTAGATAATACAAAAAATGCCCGGTCGAAAGCTGAAGCATGCTTGGTATTCGGATACAAGTGAGGAAGAAATCCGTGTGGAATGTGCAAGGAACAAGCTGTTCGATAAAGTGTAAGCGGATCCTTGCACCCAATCCCCACCGCCAACCCCCCACACCCCCCCCCCCACCCTCCCCCACACCGGCTGGTGGGACATTGTCCTGTATTTCATAGCCTCTTGTTTTACAATACAGTAAACGTTTACACACACGGCCTTTTCACATCAGGAGGACATGTTTCGCCCACAAAATATACAGCCACTGCACTTTGCAGTATATTCTGTGAAGCGCTTTCAAAAGTCTCGAAGACATGATAAGGCTCTATATCAAATGCAAGGATTATTGTTATAATTACTATTACCACACAGAAAAAACATCGTGCAATATATTCTGAAGCGCTTTGAGACGCTTTTGATGAGGCACTACACCAATGCAAGGATTATTATTATTATGTCAAAGTGCTTGACACTGGTAGCTGGGCTGGGGGTGGTGGGGGAACTGAGCAGGTGTGGCGAGGGGAGCAGTTACCGATCAAAGGGTTCTCTTTCTCTCATCGTTGTCCTTCAGTTTTGGACACATGATTCACCCTTCAAGCCAAAGCCCTAATGGTTTGGGTGGTCCTACCTGAACAAGCAGCGGGAAAGCTGGCCAGACAATGCCCTCATTGGCAAGTTATGCGATGACGATAATAATAATAATAATAATCTTTGCATCCGATATAGCTCCTCATCACGTCGCTGAGACGTCTCAAAGCACTTCACGGGATTCACTGTAAAGTGGAGTGGCTGCATATTTTGTGGGCGAACCGCGGCTCGCAATTGCGCACAGCGCGAACAAGCGTTGAGCGAGTGATCAATATTAGTTGCGGGGTTGTTGGCCAGGAACACAAGAGAAATTCAGGTGTGTGGTGGGGGGGGGGGGTTGGGGAGGGGGGAGCAGACCAGAGATGATATGATCTCAGCAGGCACAAACCAGCCAACGCCCTCCCAATTCTATCGAGGGATTTCAATACAAGACGTGGCCTTACCACGGTGCTCCGGATAACAGCTCCCCCGAGGGAGGTTGAAGTTAAACTCATAAACAAATGTGAAGGTTGCAATTCCCAGCTCGCAATGGAGGCTTGTTAAAAAAATATATCAGGGTGCGTGGTATTCAGGGAATGGATAGAAAGTCGCTTAAAGCAAAGGAAACAGCACAAGTGGGCGTAGAGGGTTGTTATTTGGAATGGAGAGATGTAAACAGTAGTGAATCCCTCCCCCCCCCCCCCCAGGAGTGCGTTCTGCCCGTAAAATACAGTCACTTCAGGTTGCAATGTATCCTGTGAAGCGCTTTGAGACGTCTCGAAGACATGATACGGCTCTATATCAAACTCAAGGATTATTATTATTATTATTAATAAAAGCGCCACTGCTTTTCTCCATTTCGAACAAGAACTTGGATTTATCTACCCCATCTTCACGTGGGGTGGTGTCTCAGAGAGCTCTGTATAAGTGATCTAGAGGGGGGGGTGGAAGGTGACCAAAAGGTGGTAAGTCGTGAATCGTGGAGGGGTAAGTGGGGGGGGGGAGTGAGGCAGAGGGTCTCGGAGGTAGGGTTGAGGGGGTGGTGGGGAGAACGAGATCACGGAGGGATCTGGATGTGAGAACGAGCGTGTCCTTCGGGTGGAGAGCTCTGAGACACTGCCCCACGTAACGGGGGCTGTTGTTGTGTAGTGCCTGTGTAATTAGTAACCGCTTTGCAACAGCCAATTTTCTATGGGGGGGGGGGGCGCTGATTGTTGGACAGAGCACCCGGAGAGAAACCCCAAACACGCTCCGCCCTCCACCCCCGCCCCCTCTTCTCACCCATGTTCTTTTCTGCAAGAGTGCCACAGGGATCTTCCTGACGTCCGACTTGAAATGGCGCAGACGGGAACGTGGTTGAACATCTTGTTTGAAGTATGGTGGAGCTCGCTCTTCCCCTCATTCCTGCCCCCCCCCCCCCCCCCCCCACCAGACACACACACACACACACTGTGGTGAAGCGTCAACCAGGGGCTGGTAGCTCAGAGCCCCGCACACAACCCACCCCACCCCAATGACAACCAGCTCGGGATTCGGAAGCTAGCGATTCATCTGAAGGATGCAGTTAAACAAGGGAAGGGGTCGGGTGGGGGAAAGGGCGGGAGGGGCTCTTCCCATCTCCCCCCTCCCCATCTCTGCACCCCGACAAAATACACGGTCAAGTCACTTTACAGTGAAGCTCTTTGAGTCGCATCGAAGACGTGATAAGGTGCTGCATCAAATGCAAGGATAATTATTATTATCGTTATGATTATTACTACCCCAGCCCCCACCCCCGCCACCACCTACCCTCCCCCTCCACTTTTTAATCACCTAAGACCGTGGGAAACTCAGCCTGCATTAAAAAACACAATCAGATAATAATATTATGTGTCCCCCCCCCCCCCCCCCAACACAAACACACCCACATCTCTCCCCCCTCATTCCTCCTGCCGCAAAATGACAACGGGATGCCAGTTTTTGAATCCCTTCAGGATTTTATTTGTGACGGCGTTTGGCGGGGGGTGGGTGGTGGTGGTGGTGGGGGGGGTGGGGGAGGGAGAGTGGGGTGAGGGGGTGAGGGAGGGAGGTGGGGGAGCGGAATGCACGGCTTACAATTAAGCATATGGGCATTAGGGTAATTGTCAGCTCTGTTTGTGGACGTTGATAGGAAGAAGACAGATGGAAACGAGTCAGTGGTCTCCGCGGAGTCTCCCTGGGACACGGTTGATGTTTTACCTGGATGAGCTGTTCTGCTCAACTGAGAGGGATGGCACTGAGCGCTCTGTGCACGTGCGCGCGCGCGCGCGTAAGTGCGCGCACGTGCGACATGCGTGCATTGTGTACGCGCGGGTTTGGGTGTGTGTGTGTGCGTTGGTGCCCGAATGGGCAAGTGCTGAAGTCTTATTGCGCCCTCTGGAGACGAACCCTGGCATTGCTGCACCACCACCACCACCGTCATCATAACAACCGGATCATAGAATCGTCCGTGCGTTTGATATTTACGCCTTATAAAGTCGTCGAGACGCCTCCGAGCGCTCCACGGCTGTACCGTGAAGCGAAGTGACTGTGTACTTTGCGGGCGAAACGCGGCAGCTAGTTTGCACGCAGCAGTGTTCCACAAACAGCGATGGAGGGAGTGACCAAACTGTATCTGGGGGATTGTCGGTCAGGACACCGGGAAACCTGTTCGAGTGTAATACACATTACAAAAAGGTGGGCGGGTTATTTGAGTGTGTTAATGAGTGTATTAATACACTGAGCAGTTTGTGGATAACACAATACATTTACACATACACAGCATCTTTCACACCAGGAGGACGTCTCAAAGTGAAACACTAGACACCGGCTGGGCATGTGAGCCGGGGGTGGGGGAGAGGGGGAAGGATGACCAAAAGTGTGGTCAAAGGGCTAACTTTTAGGGGACCTTGGAACGAGGGAAGGGAGCAAGCGAGCGAGCGAGTTGGATGGAGTTCCAAAGCGGGGGGTGGGTGCGGAGGCAGAACAGAGAAGGTTCTTTGATGTCCACCTGAACAGATGCAGGGCACTGGACCATCAGGGATTTGCGCCCGAGCTGCTGGTTGGAATCAGGAGGGGGCGGAGGGTGGGTTGGGGAGGGGTAAGAGGGTGGCCAAGGTCCGGTCGAAGAGGAAGGTCTTGACGGAGCCAAGGGAGGGAGCGAGGCCAAGGTTATAGAGTTGCAGAGGGTGAGGAGCTGAGCGGTGGGGACTCGAGATCCAAACGAGATTTCGGGATTATTTTTGTTGGAGGATGCGGGCAGGGTGGGTGGGTGGGTGGGTGGGGGATGGGAGGTGGGGGGGACGAAGCACGAATGCGATGGGAATCGGAGCGGAACTAACGGAAGACTGACATAATTATAAGCTGAGCCAAGGTTCCCCGGATAAATGGCACTGGTCTGACAGCCACAAGCACCAGGGTGGGAGCTCAGCACAGTTGGATACTCAATGGGTAACATTTTAAATAAAGCAACCGTTAATGTCAGCTTCTCGAGAATATATTAGTCTAATTTAAAGGAGCTTGGCTCTCCGGGCTCTCAAAAAGAGGGTTGAGGGGGAATTAAACACAAACCGGTGTGAATTTGATTTGTTTTTAGCGGGGCAAGAGAGGAGCTGTTACATATTTCTATTGATAATAAGCCTTGCATTCGACACGGCACCTTATCACGCCTTTGAGACGGCTCGAAGCGCCTCACAGAATATACCGTAAAGTGAATTGACTGTGTATTTTGTGGGCGAAACGCGGCAGCCGGTTGCGCGCGGCGGCGTCCCACAAACACTCGTGGGTTGAGTGACCTTATTATTTTTTTTAAGGGATTATTACCTCCGGAAAAGCGATCCGGGGTTGGTAAACAGAGGCGTGGAGAGTAAAAAAAAACTTGCCTAAGGTTTCGCCCCGCCTGGGAATCGAACCCGGGTCCTCTCGCTTGCGGGACGAGCGCGCTGACCACTGAGCTGCAGGACTCCAACCGTCATTGCTGTTGACCGGCTCCTCTCCCGTTGCTGTTTGGCTGAGCCGCTGGGCTGTGTTTGCTGTGTTTCAGGTGGGACCTCACCGTGAGGAGGGCGTGGGTCTGCGAGGCAGCCATTCCATTGTGCCAAACCAAGTGCCAGTCTCACAGCTTCCTGTCCAGTCAGCCACCTCCCCCGACATCAACCAGGCACAGGACCCCTACAGAGGTAAGCCCCCCCCCACCACCACCACGACACACGGAGCTTAGCGTGACACAAATGAAACAAAATCATTGTGTTTCGCATAGCGCGCGCGTATATATGTGTGTGCGTATGTATATGTGTTGTGCGTGTGTATGTATATGTAAGTATGTGTTGTGTGTACGTGTGTATATGTATGTGTTGTCTGTGTGTGTATGTATATGTGTGTATGTATGTGCAGGGTTTGTTATTTTCGTTGGTTAGAGCAGTGAGGGTTGGTGCCCTGTAACTGTCGGCTTGTTTTAAGAAATCCATGCTGACTGATGTGTACGTGCTGTGTACAATACAGTCTGTACATATACCCACTGTGTACATTACAGTCTGTACATATACCCACTGTGTACATTACAGTCTGTACATATACCCACTGTGTACAATACAGTCTGTACATATATCAATTGTGTACAATACAGTCTGTACATGTAGCCACTGTGTACATTACAGTCTGTACATGTAGCCACTGTGTACATTACAGTCTGTACGTATTCCCACTGTGTACAAAGCACAGTTTCTCCTCTCTGAATTGATCAGTTGCCTGGCTATTGATCAGTGATTGCTGTGTGTATTGATTAATGATTCCTAAGTGTATTGATCAGTGATAGCTCTGTGTATTGATGACTGATTGCTGTTTATTGATCGCTGATAGCTGGGTATTAATCGCAGATAGCTGTGTGTGTTGATCAGTTGCTGAGCGAGGTAGAGACTGATGATCTTTGCTGTTGTAGCTCTCTCCAGTGGGCTGCAGGGTCAGAGTGTATCGTCTGTTGGTTCAGATATAAAGTCAGAGGACGAGGCAGATGAAAATCAGGACTCAAAGACTTCGGACGACAAGAAGGCAGATGACGACAAGAAGGACAACAAGTCAGTACACAGGTGCGGCCTCCAAACAGTAAATGATCAGTTGATTTCTTATAGTCTCAGCCTTAAACCATTTGCCACCTCTTTACTCGTCTTCAAATCACTCCCGAAGATCCTACCCGAGGGTATAAGTCCCTCCATGCCCCAACATGTCCCGTAAACCCCCTCCCTCACTCCCTCCCCCGCTCAGGTAACATCTGCCTACTGTGGTCCCCCCGACCCCACACGCCAACATCAGTGGCCGAGCCTTTAATCACGATACACCCAACCTCTGGTATTTCCTGTCTCAATCCCTTCACCTCGCCCGCTCGCGCTTTTTTATGTACCTTTAAATCCCATCTTGAGACTTGCCTCTTTTTCCAAGTGATCTGAGATGCCCTCATATAAACGGTATTGGGTAAACGCAAGTTATTGTTATTGTCTGGCCACCTCCCCCCTTCGCCTTTGCTCAGCGCCCAACCTCACCAGCTCCTGTTAACCCTGCAATCCAAAGCCCTAACGTCCGAGATGGACAAGCAGCGGGAAAGTCTCCGCACAGTGCTCTCAATGGCAAGCTCTGCAGTTTCAGCTGGTTAGACTCCAGCAGTTACCCCAACACACACTCTGGGCTCCCTTCAGCCCCAGCTCCCCCAACCCCTCCCAAGCCTTGGCTCTTTACAACCTGCGCCTAATAGTTTCAAGGTTATCTCCCTCCCTCCTCTCTGACGTGCTCACTCCCTACCAACCTGCCGCTCCCTCCATTCAGCGGGCTTCGACTACGCCATGCCTCCCATCCCCCACCCGCCCTACCATTGGTGGTCGAGCTTTCAGCCTCTCTGCCCCCACACTCTGGAACTCCATCCCACGGTCCCTTCGCCTCGCTTCCTCCCTCGCCTCCTCCAAGGCTGGTCACAAGACCCTCCTCTTCGAGCGTGCCTTCGGTCGCCCTCCCACCTCTCTGCCTTCCCTCACCCCTCACCCCTACCCCACCCCTCCCCCCATGCTCGGTTCCCGACCCCCGACTGTCCAGCGCCTTGGGACCTCCTGCCGACGTGAAAGGCGCTCTATAAATGTCATTTTGTTGTTGTTGTTGTGGCGGTCGCCGTTTAAACGCAGGTTGTCTGTCTGCCCTCGGCCGGCAAACATGCACTAACCTAAGCCTTGCTCCCCCTCCCCACCCACCCCCACCACCCCAATCCCCCTCCGCCCCGCCAACCCCCCACCCCCATCCTCCCTATACCCTCCCCGCCCCCCCGCCCCCCCCCCCCCCCAGCAATAACAACGACGATGAGGACCTGACTCCGGAGCAGAAGGCCGAGCGTGAGCGCGAACGGAGGATGGCCAACAACGCACGGGAGCGACTGCGCGTGAGGGACATTAACGAGGCCTTCAAGGAGCTTGGCCGCATGGTCCAGCTTCACCTGAAGAGCGACAAACCCCAGACTAAACTGCTGATACTACATCAGGCCGTGGCTGTCATCCTCAGCCTGGAACAGCAAGTCCGAGGTGAGGGAGAGGGGGAGGCGGAGATAGAGAGGGGAAGAGATAGAAAGAGAGTGTGGAAGCGCAGGAGACAGAGTGACTGAGAGTGTGTGTGAGAGAGAGAGAGAGAGAGAGACAGACACAGGCAGATAGACAGACAACAAACAGACAGACAGACAGATAGACGGAGAGAGGGAGAGAGAGAGGGGCAGAGAGAGGATGGGATAGACAGGTCGTGAGACAGGCTGTGAGAAAGTGAGCGAGCGAGAGTCTGAATGTGTGAGCGAGAGAGAGAGAGAGAGAGGGGGAGTGTGAGAGGGAGAGACAGAGAGAGCGTGAGAGACGGTGTGTGTGAAAACGTATGTGAGGAAAGTGTGCGTGTGCGTGTGTGTGCGCGCGTGTGTGTGTGAGAGAGCGCGTTTGTGGGGTTTGTTGCTCTTCAGGTAAAGCTGGACCATGCGGCCAAGCTCCTTGAAGGCCTCGTTGATGTCCCACACGCACAGACACTCCCGTGCGTTGTTGGAGAGAGCGTGTGTGTGTGAGAGAGAGCATGTGTGTGTGTGTGTGTGTGAGAGAGAGCATGTGTGTGTGTGTGTGAGAGAGAGAGAGCTTATGTGTGAGAGAGCGTGTGTGAGAGTGTGTGTGTTTGTGCGTGAGAGAACATGTGTGTATGAGAGTGTGTGTGTGAGAAGCATGTGTGTGAGAGTGTGTGTGTTTGTGCGTGAGAGAACGTGTGTATGAGAGTGTGTGTGTGAGAAACGTGTGTGAGAGAGAGTGTGTGAGAGAGTGTGTGTGAGATGTGTGTGAGAAAGCATGTGTGTGACAGTGTGTGTATGAGAGTGCGTGTGAGTGTGTGCGTGTGAGAGAGCATGTGTGTGCGAGTGTGTGTGTGCGAGTGTGTGTGTGCGAGTGTGTGCGAGAGAGTGTGTGTGTGCGAGAGAGCATGTGCGTGAGAGCGCGCGTGCGAGAGTGCGCGTGCGAGAGTGCGTGCGAGAGAGCATGCGCGTGAGAGTGCGCGTGTGAGAGTGAGAGCGTGAAGGTGAGAGTGTGAGTGAGCGAGCGAGCGTGAGCGCGTGAGAGTGCGCGAGAGTGAGTGCGTGTGAGAGTGCGCGAGAGCGAGCGAGTGAGCGCGTGAGAGTGCGCGAGAATGAGTGCGTGTGAGAGTGCGCGAGAGCGAGCGAGCGAGCGTGAGTGAGTGCGTGCGAGACCCAGAACCTACAAAATACACAGTAACGAGAACCTTACAGTAAATTCTGTGAAACGCTTTGACACGTGCTCTTTGACGAGAAAGGCGCTGTGTCAAATGTAAAGATTGTTGCTACAAAGAATGAAGTGTAAAATGGACCTGGGTAGGTATGCAGTCATTTTACATCGTCAGCTTTGTTACACCGCAGTACCCGACTCTCACCACTGGATGTCTCTCCCGAGATACATAGTGCTCCCTCTAGTGTTCGACAAACGGCACGAGTGTGACAATGTCCTCAACAGGTCCAAGTGTCGCAGATTGACGAGCGTTTTAAGGTCCCCCCCCGTTAATAATCTCACACTAATAAGCCCTCGCTCTTCAATGAAGCGCCTTCTCGCTTCCTCGAGACGTCTCCCAAGCGCCTCGAGGACACGCTGCAAAGCGCAGCGACTGCGTGTGCGTGTGTGTGTGCGTGTGTGTGCGTGATTCCTGTTGAGAAAGCCCGGCAGCCGATTCGCGCACGTCAGCGTCCCCCGCAAGCGGCGGTGGACGGAGCGACCAAATTTTCTTTTTATTTTATTTTTTTTTAATTTTTTTTGGAAAGGATTATTATCCCCCGCAAAAGCCGTCGGCTTAACACAACCGGGCTCCCGTTCACTGGCGGGTAAGCTTTCCACCGAGCGCGTGGAGTGAGGAAACCTGCCCACCGTTTCGCCCCGCCGGAGATTCGAACGCAAATCCTCTTTGTTTGTGCCTTCGGATGTCCCCCGCGGCGCGGAAGGCGCTGCCAGTGCGCTTGCGGGCGCATTTTTTTGGCCGCTGACGGTTCTATTTCCGCCGCAGAGAGGAACCTGAACCCTAAAGCAGCTTGTCTGAAGAGAAGAGAGGAGGAAAAAGTCAACACAGAGCCACCCCCACTGTCGCTTGCGGGGATTCACCCCAACATGGGAGACACGGGCAATCACATGGGCCAGATGTGAATATGGTAACTACACGTTATTCGTGACCCTATCACCCTCACCCTCCACTGGCGCCCCATTCCCCCACATATCCTCGTCCTCACCTTCAAAGCCCTCCACTGCCTTGCTCCTCCTTACCTCTGTTGCCTCGCCCCCCCCCCCCACCTCCCTTGCCTCCTTCAAGGGCTTGTCTCAAGATCCTCCTCTTCGATCGCACCTCCGGTCACCTTCCAACCCCCTACCCTTCCTGCCCTCCAACCCACCTGATCCCAACCACCAGCTCGGGTCTAAATCATTGACTGTCCAGCGCCTTGGGACTTGTTCCCGACGTGAAAGGCGCGGTACATGTATAATTTGTCGTCGTTGGGGGGTAACTGCCGGAGTCTAACCAGTTAAAATGGGAGGGGGAGGAATGAAAAGAAGTCGTCACATAATTATTGATCCCTCTTCTTGTTTCTACAGGTCCTCAAAACAATATACACCCACCCTGGTGCCAGGTCAACTGAAACAAGTGAGAGATCACTTCCTTGACAAGTGTATTAACTTACAACAAATGTAAAATCACACTCTTCCCGGCCACCCCACCCCCCCCCCATCCTCCTCCTCCTCCTCCTCCTCCTCCTCTCTCCCTCCCTTTTTTATATAAAAAATGTCCAACAACAACAGCAACAGCAGCAGCAACAACAACAACAACAGACGGAGAACACATTTTAAGAGGTCGATGATATTGATTCACAGATGGGAAGGGAGGGAAGGAGGGAAAGAAGGAAGGAAGGAAGGAAGAAGGCAGGAAAGAAACGAATGAAATAAAGAAAAAGGGAGCAAATACTGCAATCCTTAAGCAACGCACGGTTTGCTTGGAGGCAGGGAACAAGCTATTAAACATATCACTCCAACAAATATAACACATAGTGTGTTGCAAGCCGTTACCGTAGCGACTCGGAGATGAATGATAACGTCCTCTCTGTCGATGGGGAAGAAGGGAAGGAAGAAGAGAGAGAGAGAAGGGAGGGAGGGAGAGTGAGGAGAGGGGAAAGGGAAAAGTGGGGGGGAGGGGGGGGGGGGGGTGGGGGAATGCATTTGTGCCTGAAACTTCTGTATAAAAAAAAATAAAATAAAAACGAAAAAAAAAAAATTCAATTTGTAGGTTGGAGAAAAAAATATTTATTTGAAGATAAAAAAAATAAATAAATTGTAACCTTGCAATAATGAGTCGGGAAAAAAAAATAAAAGTGTACTTCGATGGAGAGACAGACCAGAAAAAACAGGAAACAAAAGGAAAAAAATTTTCTCCGTCCGTCGTTCTAATAGTCAGCTATAGTGTTTGTTCTCTGGAGAAAGTGAGAGCTTTGTTCATCTCTCCTCCTCTCTTCCTACCCCCGACCACCCTTCGCTCCCTCTCCCCCTCCCTCCCTCCCCTTCTCCCACGCCTCCCACTTTGTAAAATTCAGTATTCACAAAAATACCAGCAACTCCCCCATCGCTGCTCTCCACCCCACCACCCCCTCCTCTCCTCTCCTCTCCCCCACCCGCCCGCTGCCCAACAACCCAACCCTCCAGACCCCAATGCGAACATGCTGCTCGGGCAATTTCCTAGCCCACGTGGGGAGTTAGCAGACAGAGGAATAGGTTAGACTCCTGACCGGGCTCTGTGTCTGCGTCTGTGTCATGTGGCTGTAAACCTGAGCTGTGCTTAACTTCCCTGATGGATTTCTTCCCGTAGAAAGTTTGCTGGACTATTAATTGGTGTGCGTGTGTGCGCGCGTGCGTACGTGTGCGTTGTGTGTGTGTGTGTGTGTGTCCGTGTGTGTTAGGAGTCGGGTTGATAATGGTGGGTTAGCACTGGTCTTCATTTCCAGCACTTTTCGCTAAGGGATTTTGGAAAAGTCTGGGAAGAGCTACGAAGACGACGGGACGTTTGTGGTCTTGCTATCACCCCCCCCCCCACCACCTCCCTCCCTCCTTCCCTCCATGTAGCCCGCTGAGAGTCGTCAGCATCAAGATCTGTTTCAGAGGTCAGTTAACCTCAGGAGATGGAGGTACTTGCTTATGACCCTTTCCCCCCCTTCCCCTTCCCCTCCCCTTCCTCCAACCATCCCTTCCCACATTCCATTCCCCTCGCCTCTCCTCCTACCCCTGCTTTTCTTTCCTCCCTCCCATCGCCTCACCTCCCCGCCCCCTTTCTCTCTCTCTCTCTCTCTCTCTCCCCCAACGCTCTCCCCTTCCCCACCACATTACAGTAAACCTCACATAAGTCATATCAGTTGGGACCACACATTTAATGTGACTTACGCAAAGTATGAGCTTATGTGAAACTTGGATAAGTTAGAAGAAATTCAAGGGGACTTGAGCAGATTTACGACTTAGGCGATTATACGATTTATGCAGATCGGACTTATGTAAATGTTACTGTATAAGTAAACGAGATCCCGGGTTGGGTAGAGAAACAGCAGTAGGTGCTAAAAACACTTAGGGATCGAAACGTGGGGTGTATTTCCCCAACATAAGTCCCCACTAATACTGCTCTCCCACCCACCCACTATTCCCCCATCAAATAATTGCAAATGGATGTTTGCGATGTGATGTTCTCCTTAAAAAAATGAATCACGGGTAGAAATCTGCCTTCCTGTCCAACTTTTGCCTGAGACGTGCTGACTCTGTGTGTGTGTGTGTGTGTGTATATATCTCTATATAGGTTTCTGGGGGGGGGGGGTTCAGATAGCACCTTGATCTATATTGAGCAGCGACTCGATAATAATATATCTGCCTTTGATTGACCTTGGGTTACCTTCCAGCATTGATCATACTTAACAGGAGTTTTATTGTATGTTTGGGTGGGGGGGGGGGCGGGGTGGAGGCAATGACAGGGAGATTGTTGATACCCTTCTGACTCTGTTCAGCCTGAAAAATCCTGCTTCATTCTATGCACGGGGTGGGGGTGGGGGGGAGGGGTTGGGGTTGTGGGGAGGGGGGTGGCGGGGAGGGTGGGAGAGTGCAACAAAAGCCAAGTGTTCCTGGCCCCAGCTCTGTCTGTCCACTTCGGACGTCTCTATATGCAATCGTTGGGGGGGATGGGGGTGTGAAGGGAGAGTGTATGGGGCATTGGGGGGGAAAGGGTAGGGTGGTTTCATTCATTCTTTTTTTTTTGCTTCCGACTCACGGGTATGGGTTATGTCTCGGTCTTGGCTTGCTAGAAAAGTAGAAAGTTCCCCCCTGTTTATTCCCAAGTTTTTCTGTAGTTTTGTTTTGATACTTGAATGAGCTCGAGACTGAAATAACTTTACAAGAACTGAACTTTGTGCGTGTGTGTTCTGGGTGGGAGAGTGCTCTGAAAAAGCTATCCATTTTAAGCCCCTTTTCTCTGTCCTCTTCCCCCCCCCCAACCCCTCCCCACAACAGCACACGTAATCCCCACAAACTGACACCATTTTAGTGTTTTTTTATTCAAATATTTCTTTCGTTTTATCGCCTACGAAAAAAAATCACAGTCGTTACTCTGTATAGTAAATCCTGTAAAGTATTTGGGACGTGAAAGGTACTGTACCAAGTGTAAGGATTATTATTAATATTATCATTATTATTTCTCTAATTTCCCCTTTTGAAAGCTCTTTGTTGAGTTTCTGCTTCACCTTTGTGGAGGCCTGTAGTTCAGTGGTTAGAGCACTCGCCTTGCAAGTGAGAGATCTGGGTTCGATTCCCGGCAGGGCGAAACCATGGACAAGTTTCCTTACTCCATACGTCTGATAATAATCCCTCAAGAAAAAAATAAGAAATTGGTCACTTCAATCCACGACTGTTTGTGGGACGCTGCTGTGCGCAATTGGCTGCCGCGTTCGCCCACAAATATACAGTCAATTCACTTTACAGTGTGATCTGTGAAGCGCTTTGGGACGTCCTCCCGACGTGAAAAGCGCTATATCAAATGCAAGGATTATTATTATTATATCAAATGCAAGCATTGTTGTTATTATTATTATAACCAGCATTTGTGGGTAGATGTTTCATGCCCCCACAGTGACCCTCAAATATTCTCCTAACGTCTCCATCCGCCTCCCTCCTTCATTTGTGGGTTAGTTTGTTTGTTGGTAGTTAAAAAAATGCAAGTTGTTGTTGGTATTAAATCGCACTCTAGTTACCGCACTTTACCTTTCCTTTTGTCTACAAAATATACAGTCGATTCACTTTACAGTATATTCTGTGAAGCGCTTTGAGACGTTTCGAAGACGTGATAAGGTGTTATATCAAGTTCAAGGATTATTATTATTATTATTTACTGACCAGTGCGAATAGCTTACTGTATAAAACTACCTGCTGAAACTCTGGTCCACGCCTTTATCACCTCAAGGCTGGACTATGGGAACTCTCTCCTCGCCGGCCTTCCCGCCACCTCCCTCCACACTGCAGGTCATTCAGAACCCTGCAGCTCGTGTACTGTCCCGCACCAGACACGGCGACCACATCACTCCCACCCTCGCTCGCCTCCACTGGCTCCCCATCCCCCAGAGGATCGAATTCAAGATCCACATCCTCACCTACAAGGCCATCCACGGCCTCACACCCTATTCCCTCCCCCCCTCCCCTCTACAATCACTCACGGATTCCCTGTTCCCAAAAGTACAAATAGGTTTCAATATTGTTTTCTTTAAATTACTTCACGTTAAAAGACACCATTTGAAAGTTACACAATTACAAAGGCTGATTTTTTAGGGGGTTGGTAATGACTTTTTTTTAAGAATCGCCTTTTTTCATGTAATGTGAAAAAAGACGAATGCCTCGTCGTTTAACTCGAAGAGTTAACAGCGCAGAGCTGTAGATCGTGGTTCCTGGGTGGGGCTCGATGCTCGGAGGGCCGGGGAGGGGAGCGGGGTGTAGAGGGTGAAGGGATTACGTCCACCATATCCCAATGGGGCTTACTATGCGCTAACAGTAAAGGCATGTCCAGAGGATGCCCAATTTATTGTCATTTTCAAGACTGAGGTGGATAGATATTTGTAGGTCAGGGTATCAAGGGATATGGGGCAAAGGCGGGTAATTGGACTTGAGGTACAGATCAGTCATGATCTAATATAATGGCGGACTAGGCTTGAGGGGCTGAATGACCTACTCCTGTCCCTATGGCCAGTGCAATAGCAGTTGATGATAAAGATAAACTTGGGGTTTGGTGTCGGCCTCATCATGTCATTGTGGTGTCTCAAAGACACCACAGGATTTTGCTGCAAAGTGGGCTGATCGTGCGTGCGTGTGCGTGTGTGTCTGTGTGTGCGTGTGGCGTGTGCGTGTATTTTGTAGCCGAATGTGAGAGACAATTCTTGCGCGCAGCGACATCCCACAAACAGCTGACACTCTAACTGACAACCAATCCTTTTCATTGGGTGTTCATTGAATAATTAGTTGGGGGGGGGGGAGATTGCTTACACGTGGTTAAAATGTGGCGCATTATAGACATTTCTTCCCCACTTCCACCCCCCACACACACACATACCCCACATTGAAATCAAATCCTAGAGAAAACGCTGCCCCACATGAAGGGCGCTATCTGAATGCAAGTTGTTGTAGTTTGCCCCGGGAGGAGTTACAGCCTTATCGCA